TTCGCGCACGGGGGGGGATGAGGTAACGGAACAGACAAGGTGCATCGCGAAGCGACCGCCACCGAAGGTACCCTCGCCGTCACCAAGCACCTCAGGGCCCGCTGCCGCCGCGTCACTACCATCGCTGCCGCCCCCATTTTCACCTTCCACGCCGCCGCCGCCGTGGAAAATGTCGACAAAATCAAAGTAGGGCTCGCCCGGTGTCACGACCTGCTGCTGTACGATCGCCCCACCGCCACCACCGCCATCGCCACCGCCGCTGCCACCACCGTTGCCGCCGCCACCAGCGCCGGCCAGCATGGTGTCACTGTAGTATGCGCCATCGGCCGCCGGGATATCACGAAATTGGACGGCCGATGTATCTTGTAAGCGTACTCCGGACCGAGGGCACCAGCAGAAGTGACGACCTTGAGGTGGGGGTGCCGGTTGCTCTTGGCACAGTTGCGTCACATGTGACCGTACTGGCCGCATGCACCTCACGTGCCCTCAAATCTGCGGGGGGCGGCGCAATCTATGGCGTAGTGACCATGCCTTCCACAGCGGCCGCATCTGAGCACTGTGCCCATCGGCGCGCCAGGTGGAGGTGGTGATTCCGGCTGATGATACACGGCATTACTACCGCAATCGTAGATGCCCCAACACCGTTCATAGCGGGCTGTTGCTGCTGCGGCTGCTGCGGCGGCTGCCGGTACGGCTGCATCTGCGACTGCTGTTGGTACGTCTGTTGCTGTCGCATCTGCTGTTGCGGCTGTTGGTACGACTATTGCATCTGCACCTGCGGCAGCGGCTGTTGGTACGGCTGTTGCATCTGCCGCTGCGGCTGTTGCGGCTGCTGGTACTGCTGCACCTGCAACTGCGGCTGTTGCGGTTGGACAGCACCGCCCCCAGAGGACCAGTGTTGCCCGCGGCCGTCGCCGTTGTTGCCATTCCGCCGTTGGCCTCCGCCCCCCCCGCTCCCCCCGTTGCCGCCGTGTCCGAAACCACGGCCGACAACAAGAGCATGGGGGTTGGCAGAAATCGCCGGCGTCGCAGCTGCCGACCCTCGCTCCCTCATCTCGCTGGCCTTGCGTGGTATATCGACCACGCACGACGTCCTACAACTCTGCCCGGGTAATATCACGCTTGGAAAGACTGGTGCGCTTCTCGACATCGTAGCGTGCGGGGAGTTGGCGCACAAGGATCTGCACAACTTCCTGCTCACTCTTCGCAATGCCCACAGCCCGCAACTTGGTCTCCAGTTGTGCGCCGCGCGAGGAGAACAGCTTGGGGTCCTCATCATCATTCATGGTTACATTGTCTACCTCGGCGACGAGAAGCTGACAATCAATCCTCCATCATCCTCCACGCTGCTGCCACGCAATGGCAAGAGTACAGCTTGTTCTCAAATGGCCCCCCCACCGCTGCCTCCAAGATAATACTTCATGTTCTCTTGTGCTCAAAAACCAGCTGTGCACCATACTGGCGAGTCAACCTGACAACTGACAACGGGAATCTCAGCACTACCGGAGATTGTGTGCTGGAGATGATGGTTGTTCACGTAGGCCAGAGGCGTCCCCGCCAACTGAGAAAGGTGTCGGCGGTGCAATTTGACGAGATTCTAGGCACAGGAGTTCTGACAATTGTACCTCCCAAAGGCAAACCCGGCACCCCAGAACCGCCATCATGACCCACCCCGCCTGGCCACATTGGCCTCACTGGTGCAGATGAAGCCCCTCCAGGAGCAACTAGACCGTCGCCTCCTGGGCTGCTGCCCGCAGGTGCACCCGCCGACCGCCGCTGTGCTGCCTTAAGCTCCTCCGTCTCAGCCTTGGCCTCCTTCGCGTCAGCCTTGGCAACATCTATAGCTCGTAGCGCCTCATCCAACCTAGCGCGCAGAGCTGCGTCCTCCTCCGTTCCAGACATATCAAACTTAAACTCTAAACTCTCCCTGATGTCGCAGCCTCGAAGCGCTGTCCCAGCTATTAACCCTGCTGTCCCGGTCCCCGCAATGGCCACCGCACCAGTATGCACTGCTGTCCTCGCCCCCTTTGGCCGCGATCCCAGCTATGAAAATGGTGTCCGCTGCCCCGATGGCCCAGCGCCCACCGCTCAGACGCCAATACCCACTACCAACACCAGGCCTTACAATATATTGTGTTTGGGTGCGGTAGCTCGTCAGAGGCCGAAAGAGAAAGAAGGTTGACTCAAGACCTTGTTGCTTAGAGAGTGAGAGACACGCGGCAGGCAACACCATCGCCATGTAGCATGTCCATCAATACATATCATCCGCGTATCCCCCCCGGAGGCCCCGTAGACAGTATACTCTGCCGAGCACCCCAGACATGATCGCACCACGTTGTGTAAAAATGGTCAAGCATCCTCGAGGCAGTTACACAGTGCTTACAACTGTCTCTGGAAGTGAAAGCACCAGAAAATATATTAAGCCACACGCAGCTGTCATCCGTACGCAAGGAAGTAAGCATAAGATGCCGAACACCCTTAGCAGGATGCAGCGCACCCTTCATGCGACTTAAAAGTATTTGTTTCTTCTCCAAAAAAACCTAACGCAGAATACCTCACGGCGCTTCGCGCTTGGTGATGTGAAAGCCTGGTCCGGTGAGAATCCGCCGTGCTCCGTCCCAGCTTTGTAGGGATGCGAGGTCAACGTCTAACGACTACGGCGTGCACGACTATCGGTGCACCCCCCCCCGCCCCCTAGATGCTGCGGAGCCCCCTCTGCTGACCATATATCTGCGGGAACATATTCGATGGGAGTATCCCATAGCTTGGAAGAATGGTATGGACCGTGCGGACACGACGAAAAAGGTTTGAGGCCAATGAATGCCGTGTGGACGGGGGTTCGAGACGATTGCTGTACTGCTTCCGGACATGCTGCGGAGTCCCCCCCCTCCCCTTTCAGCATATCTCTTCAGCCACCGGCCTGATTTAGCTTCCAAGTAACATTGCAGAAAGCTGTAGTCCATAGCTACACGATACAATTGGCTTGAGGTCTATTGAAGCTCTGTGGGTGGAGATCTGCATGGTGGAGTTTCTCCACCGTAGCACTGCCAAAGTACGGCAAATAAAAATCAGGGAAACATTTCGCTCCTTTTCTCTTTGGTGTATGTCGAGAAACACATGGACGAGTCACACCCCGTTGATTGCAGCAGATCCGCCGGAATCAAAGCAAAATTCGCGTTCTTTTGATCTTGATGAAAATGGATGCACGGTGAGATAGTGACCGGAAACAGGGTTTCTGGTAAGGAATTTCATTGGGCCGTTATCCCCACGAAAAAATTTGGACGTCCCTGGTTCGGTATGTTGTAGGGAAGGTGGTAATGCTGCACCACCAGAATGTTGTGGCCGCTTGTTTTGCGGCCACAAAGCCATTTTCCGTTTGAAATCTACCAATTCTTCGAGGAGTAGATTGCTTCTCCGCCAAATCAGTTTTGGCTAACCACTGGCCTACTATTGTAACTATGCATATAAAACTAGTATGTTTGGGCCAAAATACCCTGAGAAGTGCAAAAACACTATCCGTGGTAAGTCTGCATGAATGGTTTTGTGTGGTTTCTATGCACACCATGGCCGGCCTACGGACAGCCCTTGCGGGGCATGTGCGCGGGTGCCCACGACGCTAGCCAGACCGTGGGCAGCCCATCACCATGGACATTTATTTGCCCATGACCGCCGGTTGCTTCAGTGCGCGAGTGACCGTCATGGATGGGTTGCCCGTCGGCTGCCAATGGGCAGTGCCCAACACGGGGCACTGGGCACTGCCCGTGGGTTGCAAAGGTGCCAATGGGTGCCCATTGACAGCCCATGGGTAAACCCCTGATGGGCAGTGGCGTAAGCGCCCACCATGGGCTGCCCATGGGCTGCCCACGATAGCCACATGCCCACCATGATAGGCAGTCGCGTGAGTGCCTATCATGAGCTGCCCATGGGTCGCCCGCCATGGGCACGTGCCCATGGGCCGCCCATGGGCAGCCCATTGTTGTTGTTGTTGTTGTTGTTGTCTTCACATAAAAAAACGTTCCGATCTCTCTCTTCTACACAGCACCTTCGTATATCCGTACTAATCAAACACTCGACGCGGTCGATTCCCGTGGTCACAGGTTAACTTACCCTAAAAAGGTACACTCAAATAAAATGGCCCCAAGGGGTCCGCAAGTCAATAGAAATCAACGACAGATATTCTGGAGTCCTCCACTCCCTCTGCGCGCTATGCGAGGTAACACCTGAGACTAGGAGTCATCATCACGGGCCGGAGAGAAAGAGGTACACTCCCTCGGTTCAATCTTGGTACTTCATAACGCAAACAGAGACAAGGCCATCTGGCACAGAAAAAGAGAGAACAAAGTAAAACAGAGAAAAAGAGGAAAAAAAAAAGAAACATGTTTGGGTGCGGTAGCTCGTCAGAGGCCGAAAGGGAAAGAAGGCTGACTCAAGACCTTGTTGCTTAGAGAGTGAGAGACATGCGGCAGGCCGCACCATCGCCATGCAGCATGTCCGTCAATACATTCCATCCGCGTACCCCCCGGAGGCCCCGTAGACAGTATACTCTGCCGAGCACCCCAAACAGCCCCCCTGCTCGGTACGAGATACTATCTACGAAATCCCCGACACGACTATCATTGCCAGACAAAACGGCAGACAGAAAAACCAAAACCCCGATGCTAACAATAATATCATCCACCATTCCAATCCAAACGACTCTGCCAATAGAACACGTCCCACGAAATCGCCGGATCTTCCAACAGAACACGTCCTGCAAAGCTTTCAAGCCTNCCCGACACGACTATCATTGCCAGACAAAACGGCAGACAGAAAAACCAAAACCCCGATGCTAACAATAATATCATCCACCATTCCAATCCAAACGACTCTGCCAATAGAACACGTCCCACGAAATCGCCGGATCTCCCAACAGAACACGTCTTGCAAAGCTTTCAAGCCTTTTTGATGTCAAATTTCTACCCCCAAAAGATCTGTCAAGAAAAACAAATCACCCTCTCGAGAAAAGTGATCTACCCAATTCTCAAGCAGTCAAAACACGAACAATCACCCTTGGAAAAATACCCAGCAAAAAGATCAACATTACATCAGAATCACGTCAGAACGTATTGTGTTTGGGTGCGGTAGCTCGTCAGAGGCCGAAAGAGAAAGAAAGAAGGTTGACTCAAGACCTTGTTGCTTAGAGAGTGAGAGACATGCGGTAGGCCACACCATCGCCATGCAGCATGTCCGTCAACACATTCCATCCGCGTACCTCCCGGAGGCCCGGTAGACAGTATACTCTGCCGAGCACCCCAAACAAAACAGTAAGGAACGAGAAAATAAAATGAACAAGAGCGAGGACAAAAATGGACCAGGCCGAAAATAACAAGAAAAAAGAGACAGAAGAATGCACACGGTGAAGAAACCACTAACGAACAAGCAAACACGCAAACATGGACACCAACCAGCGATACATTGTAATGGTACGTCATCACGAGTGGGGGTTGGTGCAATGGGGCAGCGTTGGGGGGGGGGAATTGGCTAATAGAAATTCAATCCGGCACGTATCGCGCCACTCGGTCCGTCTCTTCTCGTTTACTTTCTTCCCTCGCCGTCTCGTCCGTCTTCTGCCCCCCTCCCGCCCTCAAGCCCATGGGCAGCCCATCGGTAGCCAATGGGCTGCGCACGGTGGGAAGTCGCGTGAGTGCTCACCATGGGCTGCCCATGGGCGGCCCATCGCCCGTGGGCGACCCATGAGCGGCCCATGATGAGCATGCTCATGCTAAGCCGATGATGGGCATTTCATGGGCCGCCCATGGGCAGCCCATAAGTCACCCATGGGTAGCCCATGGGCAGCCCATGGGCGGCCCATGAAGTGCCCGTGGGCGGCCCATGAGTGACCCGTGGGTGCCCCATGGGTGCCCCATGGGCCGCCCATGAATCATTTGGGAAAACTGTCATTAGTGTGGGAGATTGCGCATGTGAAGCACCACTTATATTTATTTCTGATCGTGACACATTTTCGGGAGTTAAGTTCTCTCCTTAAAGAGCCCTTCACTTTGTGAGCCGTTGGGACGAGGAAAGGGACTTCAGTTGAGGTCGGGGCTACCCCCTGGCTGTTTCGACATAAGAGGCCCTAGGAACAATACAAGAAGAAGGTCATACGCATACCAGAGGCTCTGTACAACGCAATATTGCACAACAGAATGACCCACTAGATAGCGCCTTGTATTTTATTTATGCAGTGCTTTTGTGATTACCACCTGCTGGAAAAAAATCAGTGTAAGCGCTTAGACTAATTATTAGTGGACTCAAAACATGAAATTACATGGGATTTCAGTACAAGGACCTGCAGTTGTTCTCGGCAAGCTATTCAGGTTCTGGTGGGAGCTGCAACTCCCTACTTGTAGGAAATGTCATCAAAACGTGATATTGTCATTCATTGCAGTCCTTCCCTCCAAGGGGAGGTCCGCTCCTCCCTTGTGTTTGGTATATCCGAAAGCAAGGTAACAATCAATCGAGAAACATCTACAAGTGAGTATGCATCAGGGTCTTCAGGGATTGCTACGCGTGTAAACCCCACGACACGAGTGTTGCTTAATTCGGCTGACCATTGAAAAAGTGACGGTCAGAGACGCCACGGGCGGGCGGCGCCCTGGAAGTAATCATTTCGCAAAAGGACCCATGCTGTGTACATGGGTTCACAAGCTAGAATGCAGTGCCTCACCATTTCGATTATCCTGCTGTGACAGCAGAAGTGGATGGAGGTCCTGTCCAAGGTCGTACGCGAACTCAACTCTTTTCTTCCGCATGTTGCTACAGGGAATTGTTCGTCCTCCACGTCTCCTCCGGTAGAATAAACGAGGTCGGCAGCTGATGACAAATTACAGTAATTTATACGAGTGGGAGCGTCATCGGACGGGAATGAGGCGGACACTGCGAAAAAAAAAAAGTAAGAAACACGCGCTTTCACACGGCAATTGAAGTTCGAAATTTCAAATTTCAAATTTCAAATTTCAATGGCTGTATCCCGAGTTCCCTCCGCATGCAGGTGGCGGCACACGATTGGTGCGCCGAGGAACCTCGCCGGATCAGAAAACCATCGCAACGATAGGATTATCTCCCCATTTGGTGGCGAGCAAAACCGGGAAGCACGCGTTGTCCCCGGCAACAGGAGTTTTTCATGGAAGGCTATGGCACTGGACGGAGTGGTCAATCATAGACAGCATCGAAAGCCACGTGTTGTCGAGCATCCCATGAAAATGGATCAACCATCGTACATTGAGCAAGGCGCTCAGGATCCCTCTTTCGGAACGTGGAAGACTCTGTACAAAGCACGTACGGCGTGCCCTGTTGTCTGGGCACCCACTTCGACCTTATCGACGATGTGGATCAACAATTGGCAACCACCAGATTCTCTCTCATGCAAACTTGACTTCGTGTTAAAAACTACGATGACCTGCCGCCAAAATGTTCAAACATAGGGGTCTCCAGGGACGCAAAGGCACTCCATGTCAATAGTGATTCAAGCCTAATGTCAGCATATTCTCCACCAAATACCAACACGTCCAAGCCGAAACGCGTAGAATGATCCTGCAGCGCTGAGCCAGGGCGGGCAGCTCCCCTGACGTTCAACTGCACGCACGATGACGTTCGCTTACCACCTAGCTTCCCACCGTTCTGACTAACAACACATTCCAAATGCTGCAATCCCCTCGCGTGTTCATGGGTGCTACTTCCTGATACGCCACAAGGTGGCCACCAACGCCCAACACCAAGCAACCCGCTATGCAGCCACTGCCCTTCATTGTTGCGACGAACCATCAACATGTACAACACGATGAGACCATCGCAACACCGTGGTACTAACGAACGCGTGAAACGTAGCGTGGCGATACATGCAGGTTCAAACGCCATGAACTACTTTGTCGTTGTCAGCACACCACATCCACCAAATGACCACACTTATGCCACAACCAGACTTCGTATGCACATTTATTGTAAATTGAAGTTACAACTGTTGTTGCTCGCCACGCGGCTTGCTCAGAAAACCATCTCCATGCCGAGCATCGACGAGAATCACAACACATGGCCAAGGCTAAGCTTTGCGCGAACGAACATATGCCATGACCACATCCGCAGTCTCCATTCGAAGAACCACGTGCACAACACCTTGGTCTGTCAGGCGCCATTCCCCCAAACAACAAATCAAGTGCTTAGCGGAGTGCGCGCTTTTCTAGGAGAACAAAATTTACGGCCGCAACACCAAACCACCCCGCGTCGACATAACAACGCGAACGATAGCTTGCATAGTTAATTTACTCTATCACGACAGCAACATAAAAATTCAGCTACCCTCCACGATCAGGATGGGGCATGCCCTTTCGCCGTCAAAATAGATCCCACACCACCAACAGATCCAGTATCCAACACCATCACAAACCAAATCCAGTATTCACTCTATGGCAGCGCGGGCTTACCACGGGCTAGACTACACATTGCAACAAACAAACGAGATGCTTCCATGCGGAGACTCGGCCCCAGCAGCAGCAACTGCAAAAAGTACCCTTGAAACCCCAGCAACAAGTCCAACTACTACTAGTCACATCTTCTAGGATAATGCTCTCTGTAGGAATACTTTACGAACGTGTTCTTCGCTCTAGACGGGATACGCCATGTCTAAATAGTAGAAAAAAGAAACACGACTGACTCTGAAGTACGTCACAGCCATGAGCACACCACAACATACAAGAGAAACAAAATGCGGTACACGTTTCGACGTAAACTTCTCCACCCCCTCAAACCTTTGATTTTCCTCTCGCTGTACGTCACACACCTTCATATCACGTATCGATACCATGGACCGGTCAACAGCAACGGCGGTTGCTCTCAATCAGCATTCATCACAGTGTCGAAGTCTCGTGGGTTTCGCTCACATCGCACAGCGCAAGTAGAATGCTCGACGACACATCTTGTGCTGGTGGCCAACCCGTGACCAACCCGCCGTTACAAGACGAGTTCCACCAACAACATACGAAAGCACCACCATCCCCCGTGCCTGCCTATAGATGGCTGTTTTCAAAACATGAATTGAATATGGTCGGACTATCGTGCGCCAAGCACACACAAATGATACTGGACAGCTCCTGAGCACACAACAACACATGGAGCATGTCGAACATTTTCCCCAACTGCGGCATTTATGTGTGCCCCATTACATTGATCGGGGGAAAAGCTGACACACCAACCTTAGACGATGATTTCTCGACCCGAAAACGCCTTTGTAAAGCAAGCCCTCCGTGTCGTTCAAACCCTGCCCGTCCTATGGAGGGAGTGAAACCGAAGGGTATTTTTACGTTCTGCTTCTGTTCGAGACTAACCCTCTGCACTCGTGCACATGAGCCCAACCGGTCACTGGAACTTGGTTTAGGCACCGTACAAGCGGGGACAAGCAGATGTGAACTGGCCCCCGCCCTCGACGTCGTTGCCCTGAGGTGCTTAACCTTCGCGTGCCACAATCAACACAGCAGCAAAACATGCTCGGAGAACGTCATCATGTCAAACAAAGTGTTTCACACACGCCATCACCTCTTGTGCGGCCTTGCAGCGACGCCGACCCAATCGACGTGTGCCGGCTGACTCTGCAATCGTCATGTCCACATCGATCACATTTTGACAGACAGGGATTTAGTGCGTGGAGCACGGCGTGGCCACACCAAGCGAAGCGTGTGACTCAGGTGGCGGTGGTGACGACGGCTTTCACGTGCTGTTGCCATCGGCAACGTTCGCTGCGGTGGCTGCCTCCGCCGCAAGAGAGACCCAGATGGCGTCTACGGCGGCAGCGGCGGCAGAAGCGGCTGCTGCGAACTCTTCCGGAGAGAAAGTGGCATCGGTGTCAACGTTGGCTTCCGTAAGGACGGCCGAGTCCTTCTTAGCTGCCCAAGTGGCGACACCGGCGTAGGCAAGGGTGGGTTTGGTGGCAGTAGCAAAGTCCTCCGCAGAGGCAACGGCTGCGGCAGCGACGGGGGCTTTCGTAGTGACGGCCGATTCCTCCTTAGATGCCCTAGCGGTGGCTCCGACGAAGGCGAGAGTTGGTTTGGCGGAGGCGGCGAAGTCCTCCGCAGAGGCTTCGGCGGCGACAGCGACAGAGGCTTTCGTAACCACGGGCAATCCGTCCGCAGACGACGGGGCGGCGGCTGAGGCGAAGTCGGAGGTGGGTTTGGCGCCGGCGGCAAAGTCCTCCCGAGGGGCAACGGCGGCGTCAGCGACAGGGGTTATCGTGACCACGGGCAACTCCTCCTTAGATGCTGTGGCCGCGGCTAAGGCGAAGGCGGAAGTGGGTGTGGCACCGGAGGTGGAGTCCCCAAGAGAGGTAACGGCGGCGACAGCGGCGGGGGCTTTCGTAACCACGCGCAACCCCGCCTTAGACTGCCGGCTGGGGTGAAGGCGGAGGTGGTTTTGGCGCCGGAGGCGGAGTCCCCCGTATAGGCAACGGCGGCGACAGCGACGGGGGCTGCCTTCGAAGCACGGCCAAAGCCTCCGTAGATCCAATAGCGGCGACTGAGGCGAAGGCGAGAGTGGGTTTGGCGGAGGCGGCGAAGTCCTCCGCAGAGGCTACGGAGGCGACAGCGACAGAGGCTATCGTGACCACGGGCAATCCCTCCGTAGATGACGGGGCGGCGGCTGAGGCGAAGTCGGAAGTGGTTTTGGCGCCGGCGGCGAAGTTCTCCGGAGGGGCAACGGCGGCAACAGCGGCGGGGCTATCGTGACCACGGGCAACTCCTCCTTAGATGCTGTGGCCGCGGCTGAGGCGAAAGCGGAAGTGGATTTGGCGCCCGAGGCGGAGTCGTCCGGAGAGGTAACGGCGGCGATAGTGACGGGGGGGTTCGCAACCATGGGCAACTTCTTAGATGCTGTGGCGGCGGCTGAAGTGAAGGCAGAGGTGGGTTTGGGGGCGGCGGCCAAGTTCCCAACAGCGAAGGCGGCGGCGGCGGCGGCGGCGGCTGCTGCTTTCGTAGCGATGGTCAAATCTTCCCTAAACCCACTGGCGGCGGGTGAGGCGAAGACGAGAATGGGTTGGCTGCGGCCGCGAACTCCCCCGGACAGGCAACGGCGGCACCTGCTTTCATAACGATAGCCAAATCCTCTAAAGATGCCCTGGTGGCCGCTCCGGCGCAGGCGGGGGTGGGTTTGGCGGCGACAGCGACGGTTGCTTTCGTAACGACCGCCGACTCGTCGATAGATGCCCTGGCAAGGGCTCCGGCGGAGGCAGGGGTGGGTTTGGTGGGGGCCGCGAACTCCTGCAGAGAGGCAACGGCGGCGGCGGCAGCGACGGGATCTTTCGTAGTGACGGCAGATTCCTCCTTGCACACCCTGGCAGCGGCTTCAGCGGAGGCGGGTGTGGGTGCGGTGGCGGTGACGAACTCCCCCGCGGAGGCCGCGGCGGCGGCGGCGGCGGCGGCAGAGGCGGAAGTGGAGGCTGCGGAGGAGCAGGTGGAGGCGGCGGCTTTTGCCGCGACCGCGACCCTCTCAGCAGAGGCGGCCGCTTTCACGGCGAAATTCACAGACGCCTTCGCGGCGACAGCGAATTCCTCCGCAAACAGGGCGGGCGGCGGTGGCGGTTGCCTTCACGATAACCGAGAACTTCAACTGAGATTCCCCGGCGGCGGTTGCGGCGGCGGTGGTGACATGGGCTGCGATTGTCGCGGCGGTGGCGAACTCCTTCGCCGAGGCGGTGGCCTGGGCTATGGCGGATTCCCGCAGAGACCACGGCGGCGGCGGTGGCCGTGGCTTTTCTGACCACCACCAACTCCTCCGCTTTCGCGGCGACGGCGGCGGCGACGGTACGGCGCAGTTCCGTCGCCAAGACTACCTGGTCCCAGCGGGTGCAAATGGATAACCGTGATGGGAGGTAGGCATTTGCACCTAGAGTTCGTATTTTCATGTACAGAAATGAGGCGATGGGTTATCATCGTTCCCTTGGTGCTCATGTAGGCGTTGCTAAGTCTGAAACTTCCGAGTGACCAATACAAAATATGTCTCTGCTGCGATGGACAGAGCCGACCGTGCCGTTATGAAGTCACTGAACGACAGGGACCCAACAAGCACTTCTGCAGGAAAACAATGCCACGGTGCGTATTCACTACACACACACAGTGGCGGTTGGATCGACCAGTCGAACAATTCCAACGGGCCAATATCACGATTTCCACAACATGTTTCAACAAACGAAGTCGGTGAGGTCATTGAAAAATCTTTCCGCTACACCGGCAACCGAGGGAAATACAGCACGGACTCGACGGGACAAGGACTGGGCCATCAACGACATCAAATACGTGATCGCTAAAAGTAGTCGTAACGTCCTAGTCCTAGCCCCATCGTCCCCGTGGTACCGAGTGCCTTGTAGCCGTGAGACTAGCCAGGTGCGGTAAGGTTCCCTTGGGTCAGTTTGGTGCCAAGTTACCAACACCTGCCTTTCGACATTATCAGGTTGATGTCATTCGCCGCTGACGATACCGAATGCTCCGTCTACGGTATGGACGAACAAGCAAGGGTCAACCCTACCGTAGAAACTCATCGACATCGCAGCACACTTGCGAGCAAATATTTTTTCCCTTTTCGTTTCGAGTTTGGCATTGCCAAAAACGTCTCCATCAATCTGATGTACCACCTCGCTCGTGCCGTTCTTCCGGGTTGAATTCTCCTTGTTTGCCTTGCCCCGCCCCCTCTCCCGCTCGCGCTTCCTGCTCGCCCCAGTGCTAGCCTCGTCAGCCGCCTTAGTCATTGCGTGCTTGTTACTGAGAGTACGGCGCCATGGGAGCGCAGAAGAATAGGACAAATGCTCAATGTCCATGGATTGTAGGTAGCATCCGAGCGTTGGAGCTACACACTGTGAATCAGGTCACGATTGCCATCCACCAGCGACTGACTTCGGAACAAAGAGAAACGCAACAAGGGACAGTTTCCAGAAAGAATTTCGAACAGACCATCCGCGCACCTCCAAAAGATTTCCGTCATGACTAGTGCTCCCGTTGTGATATCGACAGGGTGCCAATGCCCGTGGCCTCTATTCCCACCCACGGCACCGTCTGGTGGGGAGCATTCGGGTTCAGTGCAAGACTTTAGCTTGCGCCCAACGTTTTCTGCTTCTCTGCATGATGGAATCGGCGGAAATGAAGGGGCACGGGGGCTTGGGGCGGGGGAGGACGAAGAGACGAGCGGTCACAACTCAAAGTGTTTCAGTTGTGAGCGAGTAGTTGTTTCGGATGAATTCCCGAATGAGGCCGGTGAATATCGTCTTTGGTGCCGTGTACATGGTGCATCTTCACGGAAAAGCACCAGGTGTCATGAGAAACTACCCAGAAGGACAGCAGCGTACACTGATTCCAGCGTGCAGAAAACACGCGCTTCAACACGAGATCGCTCTACACTCTGCTAAGGAAACAGTAGCAGATCACAAGCATCTCCCCAGAGCTCAAATTACAACATACGTACTCGAGGAGTAGGGAAACTCCCATCCGAGGAATGCCGCGCATAGGTACGAGATGTCGTGCGGGTTCGCTACATGCGATACAGAAACACCTCAAACAACCAATCCAGCTCGAAGGACACCACGATTCACAACGGCATCAACAGTAAAGGGGAAAAACGACCGCCCAACGCTGCTCATCGCAAATCACCACGGAGCATGGAACATCGATGGTGCGAGTGGACGACGTTGCAAGCTTGAATTCAACATGAAACAGCCGTCGTTCAGACCAGGTTCAACCACCAAAGACACTCGAAAAACACGCGGGCAACATCAATGTAAACGTTATGTGTGCTGCACAATCGCCTCACACGTGTTGCTCCTTACGGAAAAATCGCCATATATATTCAGGATGTACCTACCGAGGTTGAATAATCTCAGAGGATCACCCTAGGGGTTGTTCCGCACTGCTGTTGTCTCGCCTATTCTACGCAACTCTCGAATTGAGACTGTTGTCACTGTTCTGCGAGGTGCGCATATGATTGAAACAACAGCTCGATGGCGTGAAAAAATACATCGAAAAATGTCGAAGAAAAAAAATATTGAGGTCATGCGTTCATTCATCTCTCGCTTGTCGCGCCGGGGGCAAAACTGCAAAAAGTCTCATGGCAAAGGCGAACTCCTTTCGAACACAACTGCTGTGAAAAGCAAGTCAACCTACGTATTTCAAGAAAAGCAGCAGTTTGTTGGCTTGAATGAAAAACGTGGGTTGTCGGGCTTTTCCCACGAGTTGAAAATGCTCAGAATACGGTAACACGGCATCGTTCCTCTAGTCTAGACATCACGACAGCACAGCAGTGGAGTACCCCCGCCCTCAAAAGAGAGCTGGCGTACTTCGCTACGCTTCGATACAGACTATGTGCGGAAGAATCAGGGGCGGGCAATGGGTGACGACTAACGTATCCGCAGCATGGACATATGTTTTCCAGAGAAGAACGTCAAGGCTTGGAAAGAGGGTAGCATGGGTAGCATAAAACAACTAGAGTACATGGTCATACATGTAAACCAAAAACAATCACCACGAGGACACTTGCTGGTAGAAAAATATATGTCCAGATGTTGATTTGCGGGGGTTGATGAAGCGGATCTACCACTTTGGCTACTGCAGTACACCACAACAAGGCATAGCGTTCTGTCAACAAATAAGGGGGGGGGACAGAAGCCGGTCGCCCCGATGGTTCAGTGATAACCTCGAAACCGCAAGTCGCAAAGTCGTGACTTCGAATCTCCATGGGGTGAAAACACTGATACAAACTTGCGGGTGAAAGCGAAAAAAACGAAGCTGCAAAGCTCTCGTGAGTACCAAACTTCGACGTTAGCACCGTTGACGAGGGAAAGGAACGGCTGGACGCTTCTCGCGATAAAAATACGATTCATCACGCACCGCAGGAGGAAAGTAGGGCACGAAACAAAAAAGAAAAAAAAAGCGGAAAGCTCCCTCCTGTGTGACCCTGGATGGTTGTAGTTGTACGAAGAAATACGCTGAAAAGTGTAGTACACGTCTCACCACGAAAAATGGGGGAACTGTCGCCATAACAAATAGGACGAAAACACAACACACAGCACGCAGCTAAGGCAACCCTTCAAAGAAAATGATACAAGTAGACTATATGTCGAAGGCGCACTAGATTCACTCGCTCCCAACACCGTATTGGATATCATAACGAAAGGGCCCAAGCGCTAGCGTTCTACTTAACGGTACACTTTTCAAACCCAGTATTGCTTTGCCTCGCCTGTTCTGCGATGGGAGTCCCATCTTGGGCACCAGGGGTGAAGCGCCACCATCAGAGGTGCTCGCCATAATCCTCCTCAGCAATTTGAATACTGGTGTGGTAGATCGCATTGAACGAGAGCAACCGGGTGGGAGGGGCAAGGGATCGGAGGTCAGCCTCTTGGTCTTGGGGGATGGGGGTGCTTTGCATGGACGCCTTGTTGATCAGCGGCCGCAAGTTTCATGATGCGAACCGTACTGCACAGCTCTCTGCCGCTGACATGTTCATCTTCGTTTTTACGGTGAAAAGGTTGCCTTCATTACTTCACCGCAGTGACCGAAAATAGCTCACAACCACGACACAGCACCAGGTGCGGGCAGCGCTACGCTTATTGGGTGTTCGTGTATCACGTCACGTCATGAATCTTGTGCCTTGTTTCGTGTGCGCGATCCAGTCTCGGTCTCTCGTGCGCCTCGAAAATAAACAAATACTATTGTACATGTCGAAGCATGCTGGATGCCGGACTTGAAAAAACGGTTGGTGCGGCTGCCAGCTGCTTCGACACACCATAGGCACGCGCGTGGCAGCAGCTGCATCGGCTGAAATTCATGGAGCAAACAAGCCCGCAGCGCAAAGCAGGTGCACTACCACATTGGCCAAGCACAACGCCGAGGAAAGCCCCGCCCGATCTTGTCCGATCTAATCTCTCAAGAATCAAGAGCCTCCACTGAACGCCGATGCGATCCAGAGGCAGCACATGCATGTAGAGCGCTTCTAACAACATCTGCACCTGTCAGGAGGAGGAGACAAGAGATACCCTCCGAAGAGAATGGCATCTTGCATGCGTGCACGGACACAGATCCACGCTCGTCCGGACCACAACGTGCCTTCGGTGACATTGCCATAAACTCTATCCCTCTCCGTCAATCCTTCCCACTCTGGATGTCTCACCTCTATCTTTTGAGTGGTGACGATAGCAGCCCGCTGCTGATGTTGCGGAGAGAAAAAGGGCGGCGGCGGGCCGCTTTGTCAAATCCCGGCTGCAGGTGTATCTAAATCCAACAATATAGCTGAGCCGCGAGAGGAGGGCGCTGGCGGTAGTGCCGGAGCTGCCGTTGTGCTCCTGCCTGTGCACAAGAGGGAACAAAGCGGGAACGGGGCGGAAGATGTGGCTTTGGCTGTGGACGGGCTGACCCGTTGCGTGCCGTTGAGGGGGGGGGAGCGCGAAGTGTTGTACAAAATCTCACACCCTCTAGGCATACATAAGTCTACCTGTCTTTCGTGCATAGCGCGAGCTCCCTCAACCGCACCTCTGCTGTTGCAGCACCACTCCCATTTTTTTCTCTCCCGTCCTCTCACGTGGAAACACCATACGTGATCCCACATCCATCACAGCCCACCAGAGAGAGGGGGGATGGGCGAGAGGCGCTGGTCTGTGTGTGCTGAGCAATCCAGAGTGGAACATCAGTTTTTTTGGTGGATACCGCCAAAATGGTGTGATTTGCAGTCTCACGGACAGATCTCACCTGGGTCGAGGAGCAGCAGCAGCGAACGCTCCA